CCAAACATTGGGAAGAGAGGACACGGCCAGCACCCACCGTCCTGTGCTGCAGGGCTTGGACTGACGCTGACTGCAGGGTGGGTGGGTGACAGGTCCGAGTGCAGGACGCAGGGTGCAATACAAATTAAACAACACATTGCATCTGTCCCCCATTACAAAGAGCTTCCATAGGAAGAAGTAAAGTGCACGCCACAGTCAGAGAATCCATCAGGACATAAGTGCCCTGAATGGAAAGCTAAGCCACCCCAGAAAGGCAAGTTTAGCCAGGATTATTGCAGCTGAGGAATGGCTTTAACCCTCCCCCCTCCCCACCTTGTGCCCAAACAGCGCTGGGAGGAAGAGACCTCAGGCCAGATCCTACCAGTACGTGCATTTAAGTGATGCTGGATTTACTGTGCCCGTGCTAAGGACAGGATGCTGTGGTCCAGGCTGGTCCCTGGCAGTCAGCATGACTCCCTTCCAGCACTTCTCCTTCTCCAGCAGCCCCCCTCCCCAGCCATGCTCCCAGCAGATTTTTTTTGCAGTGAGTTTAGCCCCACAACTGAGGCTTCTGTGCTTTGAGACCATTTTCGTGTTACTTAACATCGTATTTCAGTAAAACAGTTCCCAAACCTATAGAAAAATGTATTTACATCCGAGAGAAACCTTCCCAGCCCACAGCCTGCCCCCCCCATCCCTGGCACATCTGCATGTCTACAGCCAGCTCAGCCTCTCGGACCAGCTCCACAAGTCTTTGGAGGCCACTGCTCCACACCAGGCAAGCTCGCCAAAAGAGATGCTCCTGTGGAGGAGAGGAAAGCGTGTGGAGAGAAGGTCTCCCGGCCACCAGGCTCACCAGCTGGGTAGTGCTGAAGATCCTCTTTGCCCAGACCCCCTGTCCTCAGCCGTAGGACTGCGTGACTGCAGCTGCAGGTGTTGCGCAGGACCCCTCCTCTGCAGATGAGATGGCAGCCCTGGGCACAGGCAGGCAGCGTAGTGAGGGGACGGCTCTTGGGTTTCTCTAAGAGCAAAGAGCAAAGAAGAGTTTGGCAGAAGTCTCTCTGTCCCTCCATCATGCGAGATGGGAGCAAACTCTCCCACTCTGGTCTGGTACAGCCTTGCGGGAGGCCAGGGTGGGTGTTCTGCTGGGGGAGAAACCTGAGCTGTGCGTCCCTAGAAGACGTGCCTGGACCGCCCTGGGCTGCCTGTGCTCCATCTGGAGAGGAGCAGTGCTGGCGAGTTCAAGAGGTGGAGAGGCTTCTGCAGCAGCCTGGAGCTTCTTGAGGCTCCAGAAGGCAGGCCCTGGCCACCTCTCCTCCATGCTGGGGAAGTCTCCTCTGCAAGCAGGGCCAGTTGCTCCTGTCACTGCCAGATTGTACTCCGTCACCTGCCCTCCTGAGCTCGGTACAGGTGGACCATGCAGTCACTCACAGGCTGGTGCAGTTCAAGAGGTCCAGGCTGGAGTACCCTGGAACTGGCAGGTGCTGGGAGCAGGGTTGTCTCTGCTGTGTGGCAGCCTGTGGGGCTCTCCACAGTTCAGAGATCCAACAGACTCCCCAGTTGTCAGATCCAAAGGAGCTGTGTGCCATGGGAAGCCCAGTCCCACTGCTCCTGGTATTGCTGTTGCATCTGATACTAGTTCATCTGCAGGTGTAGCTGGGGCCATCCTGCTGTGTGAAGGGGTCGCCACCTGTCCTGCATAGTTGTGTGGGGACCTCCCATCCCACAGGGACACATTAGAGGATGGAGAGAGGTGTGACATGTCCCTAGCCCACTTAGAATGCTGCTCCCCCCTGCAGATGGGGGAAGGAGGCAGCAGGACCATCAAGGTGTCTGGAAAGCCATGTTGCCACTGATGCTGAAATCAAAGAGATGCTGGCGGGGTTCCAGGTCCTGGTCTGACACCCCTCTTCCTGCTCACCACCCTGCTGCCTCTTTGCCAGGGTAAGTGTTAAGGAATGCCTGATGTGGGTCTGACAAGCTCGTGATCAGAGATGCCTCCTGGGGCCATTTGAAAGGTGGGACTTCATGGCCTGGATGCTGCTCAAGATCTTCTTCTGGTGGCCCATCATGGTGATGCCCAAACTCCGAACGTCCCTGGAGAACAAGAACACTTTCAGATACCCCGTGGGCTGGACCTGTTCCCAGTCCCAGAGAACAGCAGACCTGTGTCTCTCCCACAGGAGAGACACTGCTCCTCCCTGTGTGTGCACCCCATGGACCAGCCCAGGACCCTGGACCTGGCTCATCTCTGCTTGCCCGTCAGCACAAGGCTGCTGCTGCAGGTCCATGGGACACAGAGGCTGCCATTCACTTGGGCACATCCTCCTGACAGGGCTGCTGGGATAGCCCCAGAGGGAGCAGGAGCAGGTGTGTGATCACTCCTGATGGGCTAGTTGGTGACAAGATCAATGCTCTGAAATTGGATTCAGTTTTAGCAAGATGCCCTCAGATACCCCCGTCAGAAAGACAGATGGATGATGAGCCTTCCCCACTCAAAGGCTTCCCCAATGTGCATGAGAAACAAGGATCAGTATCAGCTCAGTCCCACCGCAAAGGCCCCAGTTCCAGCCTTTGATCAATGCACATGACAGCTCTCTGCCTGTGTCTTTCCATCTTCCTTTTCATGGGCTCCTTCTCTACCTGCAGCACCTCGACCAAGGCATGCACTGTCACATCCTTCCCGAGTCATGGGAACTACTGTCTGGCAGTCTCATGCCTTTTGACAGGGAACAAATCTCTTCGGAGGCAGGAGAGGTTACTGCCAGCCCAGGTGCTAATGCTAACACCGAGGGATGGGGAAGGTAAGCCCAGGGTAGGAGCAGGTATAGTTGCTGTATTTTCTGGTACCACTTGGAGAATCAGCCACCTCGGACACCCCCTAGACAGGGGCAAGTAAGCTCCTTACAGCAGGAGGAGGAGGATAAGTGGTGAAACACATCTTTGCCAGCTCTCCTTGGTCACTTGGCTACGACCTTCCACTCACACCGAGGCCCTGGATGGTGCCTCCCTGCCTAGCTGCACTGAGCACGCAGCCAGTCCAGCGCACTAGGGTCTGAAGAAGCTCTGAGGTGCCCCCAGCTCCATTTGTTTCCCGATGAAGCTGCGCAGTGTGGCGCAGCTACACTTTGGTCCAGACATGCCTTTTGCAGGGGAAACAAAGGGGAGAAGTGCAAGGACACAGCAACCTCATATCTGACGCTGCTTTGATCAGGAGGTTGGATTATATGACCTCCTTACAACCTGAATTACCTGTGAACTTATGATGACATTGGGAGAGCCACCACAGAGCACCAGAGGTGACTTGGTACTCGCACCCTCTCAGTACCACTCCCACACCTTTTCTCAAAGGTCAGCATAGCCTTGGACATTGTCCCAGGTCTCAACACATTTTCCTTAGGGCTGTGTCTCTGGCATCAGGAACCAACTAGATTGAGCAAGTCAAGGCAGGATGGTCACTGTTAGGGGCTAGTGGAATGGTGCAGGGCAACCCCAAACCCAGTGCTGTTTGTTCTCTGGTACTCACTCAATGTTCATGCGCATCACCATGCCCAGGGAGGAGTACCCTGCCATGGCAAAGTTGTCCCGGTAGTGGCCCAGCCGGATGGAGTCCAGCCAGTCCTCCACTGTCAGACAGCTGGCCAGGTCGAGGAGACGCCTGTCGAAGGGTGTTTGGGTGAACCTGGGAGCAGGATGGAAGGGGTTAGACCAGGAGGTGTTGGTCCTAGGTGGTCAGACTGCGAGGTCCACCTCAAAGAGCCTGTCACCCTGCAGGGGGGGCAGGACAGAGACAGCCCTCGCAGGCTGGCAAAGGCAGGCACGCCGCTGCGTGCGCACCGCTGCACATGGTGGATGAGGGGATGCCACGGTGGGAGCAAGGCAGTGAAATGCAGGATGCTCCCCACTGCCCACCACCACCTGTGCCCATGGGCCCTACACATGTCCATGGTGGCAGGAAAGCCACTGCTGCTAGAGCTGGACAGAAGTATCCCCTACTGGCTGCAACCCACAGGTCCTGCGCAGCATCAGCTGTCAGCCCGCTCAGCGGGGCAGCTCAGGGAGCCCTTACCGGTTCACGGTGGCTGTGCACTTCAAGTTGTCAGGGTTGCGGATGAGCTTGTCCAGGATGCCGACAATCTGTGAGAAACGTGGCCTCTCGCTGCGGTCCTTCTGCCAGCAATCCAGCATGAGCTGGTGCAGGGCTGTGGGGCATCCCATGGGGGCTGGCAGGCGGTAGCCTTCCTCCACCGAGTTAATGACCTGGAAGGAAGCCACACGCCAAAGTGGAGCTCTGCTCCCACCCAACTCAGCACCCCAGACGGCAGTGCACAGGGAAGGTCCCTGGGAAGGTCCCTGGTGCATGAGCTGCTGGGCCATCAGGTGGGGAAGCAGGGCGGGTGTACACAAGTCACGCTAAATGACAAGTGCATTGCCAGCGAGCTGTGGGCAGTCTCTGTGGAAGCAGGCTGGATACCACACACATACAAGAAGTCACTGCTATGACAGCAGGTTTATTAAGTGATCCAACAGGCCTCAAATATCGCAGCTGCCCTCCAGCAGACAAGCCGCGAGAGCTGCACTCACGTTCAGTTGTTCTACAACCACGGCTTGCCACCACTTATCACGGCTGGAAGAAACCCTGCTCGAAGGAACTGTGCAGAAGAGGTAGTGAAGCCACTGCATCCATGCCCTGTTGTCACCAAAGCCACCTTCTAAAATAATAAAAACACTAGAGAGAGAGGGGATGCTCAGGACCCCAGGGCAGGGAGAAGGCAGGTAAGTTTATAGTCCCGATAGTCCCCCATAGGTAAAAAAAAGGAGTCCTGTGGTTCTGCAGAGTCAAAATATTAATTTTATTGCCTGCTTTTGGAAATTTTGCTGCCAGGTCGTAGTTGGGAACATAACCTACATTTTCCTACAGTTTTCATGCTGTAAGAGTGACTGTAAGAGTGGCTCCCACTAACGCTGACAAGCCCAAAGCCTAACGCTGAGCGGTGCAAGCCTGGGGCTCTCAGCAGCCTCACGTGGGCAGTGGAAGGGATGGAGTCCCAGCACTGGGTGCAGCAGGGACTGGCAGGCTAATGCAGTGGGCTTCAGTGATCCTAGGGAAGCCCTGACCCCCCCCATGGAACGGAAAAGGTGGCACAACATGTGCTGAAGCTCTCCAGCCAGCAGAAAGGCTTGTACAGAGCAGCAGACAGGGACGGGGAGACCCACAGTGCACACAACCAGGCACAGCCTGGACCCACGCTGCTGCAAAGGGAAAGGCTGTGCAGTGTGATGACGGGCAACACACCGATGTCCCCACTGAGGGGACAAGCACACGGTGCACAGCCCTGTGGGGATGTGAGGAGAGGAAAGGGCTGCTCCTTGGGTCCCTTTTTGCTAGGCTGGCTTGGGTCAGGACAGGAGGACAGGCAGGCTTGCCACCATGCTGTCCCACGTTCACTCACATCCCGGTTGGTCATGTTCCAGTACGGGCGCTCGCCGTAGGCCAACACCTCCCACATGACAATGCCGTAGCTCCACACATCACTGGCCGAGGAGAACTTGCGGTATGCAATGGCCTCTGGAGCCGTCCAGCGAATGGGGATCTTCCCCCCCTGAAAAAGCGAGCAACAGTGGAGGCTCAGGGCATGCAGGGTTCAGGCATCCCTACCTCCCTGCAGCTGGGACAGAGGATTAGACAAGTGATATGCTGGGATGGCATCTTCTGGAAAGGACTGAGGAGGCAATTTGTACAAGATGACCCTGAAGGTGTACCTGAAGGATGACTTCCAGGTACTTCCAGTAGAGCAAGGAGAAAACTGTGCTGCTTGTAAGGTCTTCTTAATGCACAATTCTGGCCCTCAGTGCTCAAAAGAGAAGAATTTGAAGTGATGTGGTGGAGCCGAGGGCTGCCAGAGCACAAGAGCATGGAGCTGACCCTGGGCGCAGGAAGAGGGACTGACTTGTTTAGTGTGGCAGACAAGGAGAGTGATGACATGTGCTCCCTGTCCATTACTGCTTTGGTAGGCAAGGACTGAAGAGGAGGACTTGTTGAATTAAAGAACCATGCTAACAAAAATCATCAAAAAATGGGCTAAGAATACATTTAAGCTGGAAATGTCATTGCCAGCCATACAAAGAAGAAAGTTGTGGTGTGGGGAACATCAGGTGGGTTTCCCAGAGCAGCTGGGGGGCAATCATGATGTGCCTGGGAACAACTTTCAGGTATCCCTGTCTAGGGAGAGTTGCCTCCACCCAAGTGAGTCCTGCCTGCTCTGGTGCACTCCTTGATGGGGTGCAACAAGGTGTCCTTTGGGGGACTCCCTTCGGGGAAGGCATCTCCTGAGCAGGTTGAGAACAACAAAGGAGGAACACAGGATGCTATCTTATCACAAGGTTCTGAACAAGAAAACATCCTCAGTTCAGCACTGTACCATAACACCCACCTACTGACCAATGGACAACTGAAGGAGTGGATGGAGCTATTGCAGTCTAGGGAGGGACTCCAGTGAGGACATTGGAGCATCCCTGTGCAGTGGCCACGCATGCCCACATGAGCTGTTGGCTGGGGAGGTTTAATCAGCTCCCTGCTCTCCTCCCTCACTTTTCTTTGTTCACTGCACACTTCAGTTCTGGGATGTCCCTGTATGAAGGATGATGCATTAAGGCTCAGAAGCAATTTGGGTTCATGCTCTTGGTCCAGATATCAGCAATGAGGTGACTATCTCCATTCCTGCCCTGCCTATCTTGATTTGAGAGTGGCAACTTTTCCATCTGTCAGTGACATGGGGCAATCACCGTCAGTAAGGATCAACAAGACTGCAACGCTAGGAGCCACGCACCGTGGTGGTGTACGCAGCATCGGGGTCATCCTCCAGGATGCGTGAGAGGCCAAAATCAGACACTTTGCAGACCAGGTTGCTGTTCACCAGGATGTTGCGGGCCGCCAGGTCCCGGTGCACATAGCCCAGGTCAGACAGGTACCTCATACCCGCTCCGATGCCACGCAACATACCCACCAGCTGGATGATGGTGAACTGCCCGTCATGTTTCTGGAAAGGAAATAACCCAGAGTTCATTTGTGGTTTTCACGAGCATCCTATTGATGCTGCTCTCATTAAACTAACCCCCTAGTACCTCTTATCTTTGGCTTAGTACCTCCTCTAACCCCGGTGCCTCTGTCTTGCCCCCCAGCCCACTTTCTGCCCTCCCAGCACCTCTGACACGCTGTTCAGGCAGGTGTCCCTGCCTTTGCACTGCTGCTCCGGGCAGCCGGCCGCGATGCCCTGGAGCCAGTGCCTGCGGGAGAGGTGAGAGCCCAGAGCTCACTGCTCTGGCGCAGGGGTTGCAGTGGCCATGAGGCTGAGGAGCAGGAACCAGCCTGTCCTCCAGTGACTCAGCCCGGGGGGATGTGCAATGAATACAAGAGAGCTCCCTACCCTGAGGAAGGTGTCTAGCGAGCCGTTCTCCATGTATTCAGTAACAATCATTACCAGTTTGCCTGCAGGAGACAAGGGAGGTCAAGTTAGCAGAGAAGTCACCTTCCTCCAGGAAGCCTAGTGCCAGGCTTTTACTGGGAGAGACATGAATCCAGGCCTGTGGATCTCCTCCAGCCCTGCAGAGCGGTCCCACCCGTGCACCATACAGGACAGGCACCACAGAGGGGATGTGGCAATAACCGCAACACTTACCCCTCCCTTCAGGTGCTATTGATGTGGCTATGTCAGTTTTGTTATCCCGCTGAAATCTGCATGCCATTAGCATAAGGCTTTGCATTAGAATGTGCCTTTTTGAAGGAAGACTTCAGATTATGATTCAATACAGGCAGCCTTTAAAATAAATGCTAATGGATAGGACATCTCCTAAACCAATAACCCTGACCTGGGGCACACTGCGGACCAAGGTGAGGCACTGCCATATGGAAAGCTTGTGCTGTAAGAGAAGGCAAGGGGTGGGATGGAGGGGACCCTGGGTAAATGGACATCTGACAAGCGAGCAACAGGGGCAGCTGAAGGATGGAGCACATTCAAAGTGATCCCTGACCCCCATCTCCCAGGGTGCCCCCAGGGAGATACATCCCAGCTCTGCCCCACCATAGGGTCCCATTCCCACCAGCCACATACTCCTCGTCACCACCCCCTCCAGATGGATGACGTTCGGGTGGTCGAACTGCGCCATGATGCTGGCTTCGCTCAGGAAGTCCCGTCTCTGCTTCTCCGTGTAGCCTGCTTTCAGTGCCTTGATGGCCACAGGAATCTCCCTCTTCCCTGGCAGCTTCAGGCGGCCGTAGCACACCTCTCCAGACTCCCCTGGAAGGCAAGGGAAGGTGAGGGCATGGGAACCTCAGCTTCTTGCACTGACCCACCAGCACCACCCACCACCCAGTCTGCCAGCATGGTCACAGCGTGCTCCAGCCCCTCAGGACTCCTGGGCTTTTTGGGCATCGCTGCCCCTGAGCACAGAAAGAATTGCCCATCTCCGGCTTCCAGTGCCACCTCTGGCTTCTGGGCAGAAGTATCAGAAACCACCTCTCTCTCCTTTACTGCAGGCGATAGGCCAAGAGTAGTGATTACAGTGGCACTTGCTCTACCCCTTTTAATGAACAAATTTGTGAGTCTCTTAGAGCAGCAGGGATGTCTCTCAGCCAGGCTTGCTAATGCTGCTCTGCAGTAAGCCCTTGAGGTGCTCCTGGTGAAGTTCCAGCTCTGTGTCTGCCCTGTGCTTCCCTGCAAGCCCCTGTTCCTATGCAAAAATCCCTTTTGTTCTTAAAATTTACCATTTCTCTTGCAATATCATTTGCATCTTGTCACTCCAGACACTTGCTCCAAGGTTTGAAAGCAGGGTGGTTGCCTCGGAGCGCCCACGCGGGACAGGCTGAGCATCTGCTGTGTCAGCCTGAGCCGTCAGTGCCACGCCGGCTGGACGGGAGCCCCCTCCCCCCCGCTCGCGCGCCGTCAGGGCCACGCCGGCTGAACGGCAGCCCTCTGCACCAGGCTGCCGCCAAAGAGTTTATTTCATGCACCAACCCCCCCACTCTGTCCATGATTTTGATCTCAAAAGGAGAAGGAGCAGATGAAGCCCCAGCTGAGCGCTGTGCCGTGCTGTGCAGCCTGCTGTGGTCTCAGCAGGCCACGGGGACAGCACAACCTCAGACCGTGAATTTCCCTGAGCAGATGTGATGCAAAGAGGCAGCCTGGCCTGGAGACTCACCAGACCCAATGACCTTCTCGATCTTGATCCGGGAGGCCTCAATTTCACGGGTGAACTCGTGCACGGCTTGGCAGGGGTCCTCGTATGTGTGTGGGTCCACATAGAACTTGGACTCGGGGAACTTTACTGCCAGGATTCAAAGGAGAGAGAGGAGATAAGCTCTTTCAGGCAGCCCTGCTGAAAAGTAGGAGCACCCAGCAGCTGAGCAGAGCATGGGCAGGGGCAGGACTTCTTGGGTTGACATGCTGAGGAGCCGCAGAGGTCGCAGCCCCAAGGAAACCTAAGGCACTCTTTAGTATAGCAGTGTCCTCAGAGCAGTCCAGAACCTGGCTACCAAGGTCTCCTCCATGTGATTGTCCTCCTCCGTCACACCCCCACCCCTTACCTGTGATGAATTTTCCACTCTTCTGGCCTGCTGCTGTCTGGAATGAACCTGCTGCAGTCCCACCTCACGCTGTGCAACACTTCAACCCCCTTACCAGGATGCCCCTGGGATCAGAGCCCCTGCCCAGCTCTCTTAGACACATCCCCAGAGGCAGGCAGTGGTCAAAGGCCTTCCCTCCGGAAACCACAGCGGTCCCGGGGGGTAACGGTACAGGTCCCTGCCCATCCACAGGCCCCTTCACACCCCAGGGGCAGCGGCAGGGAGGGTCCTACCTTGCCCATTCTGATAATGCATCTTCTCCTCATCGGAGTCCTGGAAAGCCTTGCTGTACCCGCAGTGCCTGCCACGGGGACACAAGGGTCAGAAGAGATGCTCCCGTGCCTCACTCCCACAAGCAGCCCAAAGGCAGGGGTGGAAGGCAGTGCGTGCCAAGGCTGTAGGCAGCCCAGGAGGAGCTGGAGCTAGCGCTTGCCCCTCCACCAGCTGCATCTCTGCACCTTGCTGGACTGACAGTCTTGCTTGGCCTGGAGCAAGGTACTTGCCAGGTGCTCTCCAAGGCTGGGCAGTGCTAAAAGCTGCAGCCCTTTTGGCCCCTCTGGGCAGTGGCATGTCTGCTCCACATGCCTTGCTCAGCCATGCTGAGATGTAGCAGACACAGTCCCCCTCAGACCTTTCTGATGCAGAAGAGCTCTCTCCACTCCTGACCCACTCCCTGGCGCATCCAGTCAGCCCTCATACTGGTAGTGGTACTGGTACTGGTATGGCTACGGTTATCGTTAGCACTATCGCTATCGCTACTGCTACTGCTACTGCTACTCAGCCTGCTGCCACGCGGGGAAGGTCTGGAGACTGGCTTTGCCACAGGGAAAGTGGAGGCAGGGTGACCCCTGAATGAAGTCTCTTGGTTGCTTATTAACCTCTGACCTATGGATGCTCTGAACAAACTGAGAGGAAAAAACTTGTGCCCAAGTTCTCCCATCCCTCCTGCCCTGCTTGGTGACAACCCACACTGACCTCCAGAAAACACTTACCTCTTCTTGCAGATTAGGACCACCAGCAATGCAATAAGACCAGTGATGAGTGTCAGGCAGATCCAGACAATTGTCATTGTGTCGTATCGGAGAGAGACTGGAAGAAGCAGAGTAGGAAGGAGGTGAGCTGGAGTGAGGAGCGCTCCGCTGTGCTCAGAAACTCACCTTTCCGCGTGGCGTCGTGTTTTTCAAAGATAAAGCACCATCCATTCCCAGCTTTGGGGCTCTCCCAGTGTACAGGGACCATTTACACATGAGGAAACCAAGCACAGATCTGGGAAAGCCATAGTGATACCACAAACCAGTGCAGAGAGGAGTCTGGTGCCTCAGGACCTCACCAGGTCTTCCCTAGCCTAACTGCTATGCCCTTCCTCCCTATTTCTAACGTAACGGCACATCTCAGGAAGTGCTTCCTACCTCAAGCAAGCTCTGCAGGCTGAAACCCCGGAGATGTGCCTCCAGCCTCCCTCCCCACGTGGCAGAGGAACAATGGCCAAGGGCATCACCATCTCCCATGCTCCCTGCCCCACACTTCCCACATCCCACAACTGCACACACTCACCGGGCTTCCCTGTTTCCACCTCCACGGTCTGACTGAATCTCCCGCAGCCAGCGGACGTGCGAGCCCGAACCTGGAAAATGTAGCGGGTTGCGGGCTTGAGCCCAGAGATGGTGGCAGTGGTGGCCTTGGATTTCAGAGTCGAATAGCTCTGCATTTCCTTGTCCTGGCGAAAAGCAACACCAAAAATCTTGCTGCATCAGCACAGCAACCACAAAGTCTTCCAAAAATAGTCCCTTGTGCACGGCTGGCTGACAGCAGCAATTGCACCAGCAGGATTTAAACTGAGCTGTGCCCCTGTCTAAATCCACCACGCTGGGACCAGTTTGCAGCAGCAAGCTCGGTGTTACCTTCTCGTAGTACTTGATCTCATACTCCAGGATGATGCCGTTGGGCTGGTCCGGCTCTTGCCACAGCAAGGTGACGCTGTTCTGGCCCGTGCTCTCCTGGCGGACCACCACCACCTGGGATGGGGCTGGGGATGCAGACGGCAGGGTGTTAGGTGCCTGCTGGTGGGGTCCTGCATGGGTGAGGGCAGCAGGACACAGCAGCAGGGAAGGGTGGAACTGGAGCCCCATGCAGGACCCTTGGTTTAAACCATGTTTCTGTTTTAATCGTGGAGATGAGTGCTGTGAAGGGGCTTGCAAACAGGCTTTTGTTCGCTTCAGTTGCCTCAATATCTTTCCTGTGGAGTGAGCAGGCTCCGAGGAGATGAAAGAGGAGAGCTCTGTCCAGGCACGGGCAGGAGGGGACACTGATGCTTCGCTGTGATCTGGAGCCAGAAAGGAGACGGGGCTGCGGGGCTGGAGGTTGTGGAGATCCCTGGCAGGACCCTGACCCCTCCTGCCCCACCTGGGGAAGGGGACAGGATCACCCAGAGGCATGCTCAGGGACTGAGCGTCAGTCTGAAAGGTGCCCTGGGGGTGCTCTCCTGCCTGGAGATGCTCTTGTCGTCTGCCCGGGCCTGGGCTGGGAGCCTGTGAATCGGTCCTTGTACCTGCTGCATCTGAGTCGGAGCTGCCCTAGCTGCAGGAGCCAACTCACCAGACTGTTCCTGCTGGGAAAATCCCCCCTGGAAGGACCCCAGAAGGTGTGGTGGGTGCTGCCATTGGGTCCAACTCACGGGAAGAGGTCAGGCACCCCTTATGACCCTAACTGCCGGGTGGAGAATGGGATGTGGTGGCTCTGGAGATGACAGAGCTGCTGTCTGCCGTGGCTGCAGTGCAGGGGTGTCGCTGGAGCAAAACACAGACCAAAGGAGGCCAGAGGGGCTGCAGCAGCAGTGGGGCAGCCAGGGACTGAAAGGCGGCAGTTTCAGCTCAGTTATCTTTGGGCTGGCTCCTCTGAGAAGCAGGAATCACTGCGGGGACACAGGAACCTGGGTAACTGGGACAGGACGGGTGGAGGGGATCAGCTAAACCCCGTGGGCACATGCAGTGCCATCTCTCCAAACAGCCCCAGGGTATCTCTGCTGCACCTGCTCCTGCCCCGCTCAGCCACCCGGGGCTGGGGGACAAGGGTGACCGGCACCCAGCGTGGGCAAGCCACTGTGCAGTGCGGCAGGGGTCCCTCAGCCCCTCCTGCTGGGCAGGGATGCTCTGTGGTGTGCAGCAGCTGGAGCACCACCATGGCAGATAAACTTCAATCACTACCAAATTCCCAGCCCCGCTGGTTTTGCCGCAGCTGCTCAGCATCCACTTTCCAGCAGAGAGGTTGAAATGGGAATATCCGGCACTTCCCAAGAGCATCCCACTCTGAGGCATCATGCTGACACTGCTCATCAGCACTTGGAGGGATCATGCAGGAGCGAGTCAGCAGGACTGAGCCTCGGCGGAGGGGTGAAGAAGTGCCTCAGGCCGGCATTAGTAACAAAAGGGCCTTGTTCTGGTGCCAGCCATGAGCTAACCCAGTGAGGCTCTCAGGGTTTCTCCTGCTGGCACCACTGCCATGAGAGCAGAAGGGGCTCAGCATCATGGGAGGTTCCTGCGGGCTCGTTTCCAACCGGGAGGATTAACATGAAGTGTCAGTGCCTGCCCGGTCCCCTCTGCCTACAGCATGCTCCGTGGAGAGGGGCTTAGCTGGGCTCCACTCTGGGGAGATGCCCAGGTGACCCTGGAGCAAGGTCCTGGCTTACCTGGGCCACAGCATTAGTCAGAAGTATTTCCTGGGGAAAGAGCATTTCACAGCAAGGGATTGGCAAAGATGAGGCATGCATGAGAGAGACTTTTCTCAGCAAACCTTGCTGTCACCTGCCAGGGCCTGGCAGTGGTGTGAGTTAAGAGCAGAGCATGAGCTGCTGCTTGGCCCTTTGGGAAGGGACGGAGAGCTGGAGGAACAGCCTGAAAGGTTCACGCCCCACTTAGTGTTCCTGTCAATAAACAAGTGTTCTCCGTGCCCCCGTCTCCTGCAGAAAAGGAGCCTCCACTAGCGGCTGCAGGCTGCAGTGGAGGGAAGGGAGGATGAAGAAGGATACCATGAAGCAGAGAAGGGTCTCCAGCCCACCCCAGCTCCCTGAACCCACCTCCAGCAGCAGAAGGGTCACATCTCCTGGGGGTCCCATGCCCATCACCAAACAAGCCCTTGGCTGCTAGGGCAGGTTCTGGCTCCTGCAGGTGCTGGCTGGAGCAACATCAGCATCACCAACACATGCAAAGCCTGGAGGGGGTGTCTGCTCCTCCTACCTGCCTGGTTTGTTGTGATGTTGGCGACTGCAGCTCTTCTGGACTCCAGGCTGAGGTCGGACACGCCGTTGACGGCCTCCACCCAAAAGGAGTAGTTGGTGTGGGCCAGGAGGTTGGTGACGGTCAGCACTCCCTGCACCAGGCTCATCTGCTGGGGCACGAAGCGGATCCCGCTGCCGCACGCCTCGCACTGGCCAGCATCCCCCACGCAGCGCCTGCAGACCACGTTGTACACGATGTCAGCACGTCCCCCCTTGTCCAGGGGCGGGCCCCACTCCAGTGTCACTGAGGTGCCGTTTACACTGGAGATCAGGTTCACAGGAGCAGAGGGGGGGCCTGGAAAAGAAGCAGAGGTTCAGGCAGAGCGGGGGCTGCGGTAGTGTGTTGGGACCGGCAGAGCGTGGGACCAATGGAGAGATGCACCTCGGGGAGCGTGTACCTGCGCGTGTAAACGATGCTACAGGGAATACACAGCTGCCCAGCGCGGGAAATGCTCCAAACAGAAGACAGCAAAGATGCAGACAGCTCTCAGGGTGAAATGCCATGGAGGTAAGAAGCTCTGGATCAGGATGCCAAATGGCAGGCAGGCAAGAACTCCCCCAGCTGACTTCTGGGGGAAGCAGGAAGCATGGGGGGCGCATGAAGCTTTTGGGGGAAGAACTAAGGTGTTGATGGGCTGGACTGTGGAGAACAGGACTGGCTCATCTACAGGGGAGGGTAAAGTCACATTTCCTGGGGAGATAAACAACCTTGGGTGGATATCCCCCAGGGAAACACAAGACAGATGTTGCTGACCTGTCTTTCACCTTGGCTTCAGCTAGCAGCCCCACACCTTTCTGCCCTCCTGGACCAACTTCAGAGAGGAGGACCCCTCCTGGGATGCTCTTGTCCCCTTTTAATAGCAGCAGGCTCCTCAAAGCAGCCTACTGCAGAGAGTTGAGCTGAGGGCTGAGCTGAAACGCATGACAAGCCCTAGTGCCACCGTCCACCCACAGTGACGGAGAGCACAGCAACACTTGCCTACCCGCACTGCCCCATGGCCTCCCGGGGCTCTGACCACCCTGGGCATTTCTGCAGAGGCAAGCAGCCAGCAAGTGGCTGGCACGCTGGCTGGTGCGTGAGCGGGCGAGCTTGCCCGCAGAGCCACGGTCTCGCCCTGCTCGGTTGCGGGAGAGAGCCCTGGGAGGGGAGCAGAGCCTGGCCAGGGAGGTTTGGCCCCATCCAGCAGACGGGGATGAGGCAGAGGACAGTGAGGGAGTGCAGCCTAAGGGGGGCCCGGCTCGTGCACCGAGGGGAGACCCGGGGTTGAAACGTGGCTACAGCGCCGTGGGCAGCACACG